TTCTTATTAATCATTTTAGGCTGACTTGTAAAAGATACTGGTGACCTAAATTTTGAAGAGACAACAGTTGAGAAATGTGAATGTGCCTTAACCAAAAACGTGGAAATGAATGATAATTCAAGAAAACTTTATAAATAATCAGATGACAGAGAAGATGGATACAGAGAAACGGCAAAATGAACCGAAAGTTGAAAGACTTCAGTAAATTTAAAGGGAATCTTCCATCAATCAATCATATTATGCTGGCAATAAATATTGTCAAATACATAGAAATTTGAATGAAAAAAGAAGGCGATTAGAAGCATAGATAAAATGTTTAAAAAAATAAAAAGCAATATCTAATTACATGAAAGTCAAGAGGAACAAGTGCAGCTCATAATAATGCGAAAATATTCTTGAAACTAGAACACCATTTCAGGCAAATCAATTTTTGGCTGAGGAATGAAGGCGGAGATTATGGTCATTAAGACAACTTAAACTGATGTTATAGCAGAGGCTTGGCTATTCATGAATTAATGTTGATTATGATAAAGTTAACATATGACAATCATGAAACGAATTTTTTTTACAGCTTTTAAGTGAACTTCCTGTGCGGGCGAATTAACGCGCATAAGGATCAAAGGCATTTGGGAAAGGAAATAGGTGTGCTTTAAAGCTTAAAGTAAAGAACCTTATGCAAAGACTTAAACGCACAAACACAAATAGTTGAAAAGATGTAAATATACGTACAATTACGGCTTAGCTACGCTCATAACAGGGCATATTAGACTTATATACATAGGAACAAAATATGATACCATCAGGGATAGGTGCAGATAAGATGTAGTGACAAAAAATCCCTCCAAAGACATACAAGAGCTAAAACAGCATAAAAATTTACATTATGGTTGGTGGGCCCAATAATGAAATGAAATGGGATTCAAGTTGGCAGATCAAAACTTCCTGATGAATGCAAGAGTAGAATTCAAAGAATAGTGAATACTCAAATTTTTTATAGCAGCTAATTCAATAGGGCAAAGTAGCCATCTAAGAAAGCCTTCTTTTTAATATGAGCATAAACGATATAGTTATTTAGCATGCCCCAAGTGGAAGCCACAATAATCGCCTAAGTAATATGCCTAAAATGAAGCATTGTTTATGCTTAACGCATAGCAAAAGAATATATTTCATCTTAGGGCTGGTTCCATGTGAATAAAAGGTTGTGATATCAAAAAAGCACATACCAAGAGATATGGAACTGAGTGTAAAAGCAAATAGAAAAGTGTTTAAAAATACCAAGAAGTTGATTGATATGGTCAGGGTTAGTGAGTAGAGTTACTTCATCTGGCTTCTGGCTAAAAAGAGATGCACTATAAATTCGTGAAAGGAATGAGAGTCAAGATCGACAATCCGCAAGATGAATGGACGAGGAGACCTTTAAGCCCGAAATAGATCGAGTAGCCTCGTCCGAAGATGTGGATGATGGTGGAACCAAACTAGCCTGTCTTTCCCTCGTTGACAGCTGATGCACGCCCTGCTCAGCTAACAAGCCCGATCCTGACGCAGAAGAAATGCATCCATTGGAGGCGACGACAGAAGAGGCTTCAAGAATGCCAGTATGTTTCGGAGTCCCATTAAGGCAAATTAGATAGTCAGTGGAACGAGGAGTTCTAGCCACGGGGCAATCGGCTTTGTTGTGATGGCTGTGTGGCTGGAGAGGTGATACATAGGACAACATCTTCTGAGACAGCATACCAAGAGATAGCCTGTCATAATAAAGAGCAAATCAGCTACCTATAAACAAGCTAGTACAAGATTTATTCTTATAAATTTACATCTCACATAAAAATAAGAATGGAAGTTTTGTTCCGTAATCGAAGAATCAGATGTCTTAAAAACCCTCTCGAGGGATTCCAGGTAAGCGATAATAATTCCATAAGATTAATATATCTAAAATTATCTGTAGCAAGGAGAAAATGAATAAACCAATGAATAGTGGCTTTTCAATATACGACTACTTAAAAATAAGATTATGAGGAGATGGGATCCAAGATCTGATCTAATTGGAGTTGAAGGTCTATTATGAATATTGGCCTGAGAAGTTGAGGTATTTAGATCAACGCTCCTCTAAGTTTATTTCTTAGTTCTTCCTTTGATTCTTACTTCGTCTGCTCTAAAATCGATACAAGCGTCGACCAAAAACGAAATCACTCAAATAAATCATTCGAGTTTAATTAAAGTTGAACCTCACCTTATTGAACCCCAAAGGAGCTTGTCTTGTCTTAACGATGATGAGGGTCTATAATTTACTTTTGAGAAGACAATATAATGAGATTTGTCTATCACTGGATACGTGCTGGCAAAGTTGAAATATGGCTGCGTGTTTGGTGTCAGTCGTTAATTGCGAAAATAGCCCTTTACAAAAAATGTTGCTATTAAAAAGGTCCGAGACTATTCCTAGAACTTGAATAAGAGCTGTGATCATCCGAGGTTGCGTAAGAATAGTTGAATAGTCGATATTTGAGATTACTAGACCTTACAATGCCGATGAATTTCTCATCCGGGTTGACTTTAATTTCGACTTCGCAGGTGTCTAATAAGCGACTCCAACGGGAATGTAACCAGAGTAATGTAGCGTATATTTTCGACAAGTTTTCACTTAGCTCACTGCCAAGAGTGTCAGTGGGGCACAGGGCAAAATTAACAATTACTAAAAGCTAGGCTTATCCAACACTACATTTCTAGTGTTGTCGATGTGGCAAACTTTCAGTTTATTTAATTGCAATCGACTACGTTACTGATATCCATAATTAGTAAGCTTCGTGATTATAAGATGTGGGAAAATATGTGGTCATCATAGGCCACACAAGAGCAAATTCCCACAATGATATGAATAGGCATCCTGAGGTCATTGAAGTTAATTTAGCCTTGCCTTATAGAAGATATTATTATATAAGGTGAACTACATTTTCAATCTCGCCTGGGTTCCCTTAGCAACTCCAACAGGCATCCAACCCAAGCAGAGCAAACACAGCTCATTCAAGATATAAAGATAGTCTCAAAACCTACTAAATATGAATATAAATAACGCAAAAAATATAATCCCACTATAAATCTGATATGGAAGAGGCCTGGTTTGCCCTGAATGGCAAATCTGCCCTGCAACTCATTGACGAGCGTATGAATGTGACCTAGTATAACCACGTTGGGAATATACGCTGCGCTACCCTGGCTAAATTCCCTGTTCGATGTGTTGATAAGACCGAAACCACTGTACACTTTGGATGATAATATCTTTTGGGAGGCTTAGGTAAGTGAAATCCGATGTCATCGTAAGGCCTACTCATATCAGTCCTTCACCACATTATGCGGCATAGTGAACAGAGATTTTATAAAAAACGAATTTCATAAAAGAAACAGGGTAAGCTCAAACCATTTTTAACATCGATTGCTATTATAAAAGATGATTAAGCTCAATCTGCAGTAGTTAATAGAGGCATCTTCAATATCTCAAAATGATATTAGAGCGATTGACACTGATAAAGTTATTTGCTCTGCTGATCCTTCATATACGTTACCTGGATTTATAGTAAAGAACTGAAGTTCATAATTTAGCGCCTTGAATTTCGCATAGCATTAAGAATAAAAAAAGCTCCTATAAAATGACGAGAAGTTAAAAGATGACTCAGCAATAAGAGACATAATTGACCTGAAATTTGGTTTGGGCCCTATTAACTAAGCTTAC